CCATACTCTTGTACTATGTTTTGGGATTCAACGAGATTTCACCTTTATTTTATAAGTTTTAAATATCCTGAAAATCTGGGGTGTTACAGTTGGTATCAGAGCCTAAGTTTGACCCTAGGATAAGACTCTTAAGACCGGACTTTAGGACAATAGGCTCGAACTCTAAGTATCTAAGAACATAAGATTCAGGAATCTTAGGACACGCGGCGAGATTGTGAAACCTACACATAACCTCCCTTACCTGGAGAAAACTTTCCCCCATTATCGCAAAGAAGAACACCAAGCCCCAATTTAACGTTCTTATAAACATTGACCCAGGAAGACGACATCATGGCACCCAACAGAAGACAATCAAGGACTCCAGAACCCGCCGCGCACGACCCCCTAACCCAAACGCTACAACAACTAACACAAGTCGCCCAAGCACTAAGCAACGTAGCTCTCCGCAGCGACAGGCCCCCACCGCCTCCGTCGAACGCGAACACCGACTTCGCCCGACAAGTCTCTAACCACCGACCACCCACATTTTCAGGAGAGGAGGATCCCGTAATTCTGGGAGAATGGATCCGAACCCTTGACAAAATCCTCGGGTTAGTGGAATGCCCAGAAGAACGCCGCGTGGAGATAGCCTCGTTCTACTTCGGACACGAGGCCGATCTCTGGTAGATCCACGAGGGTCCCACTTACCAACAAGAACCGGGGTTCAACTGGGAACAACTCAAAACGCGACTACGAGAGAGATTCTATCCAACACACGTGAGAGCGTCCATATACGAGGAGTTTCTCCATCTGAAACAAGGGACAGCTACCGTTATGGAATACCACAAACGATTCATTGAACTAGCACGCTTCGCACCCGAACTTGTCCCCACCGAGGTAACCAAAATAGAGAGATTCGTATCGGGCCTCAACTTTGAAGCCCGAAAAGCACTAGTGGTAAGCAGACCTCGGACTCTCAATGAGGCTTGCTCAAGTGCCGCTAATCTCTACCGAATCCAACTACTCCAACGCGGGGTTCAGGAGCAAATGCGGAAGAGGAACCCCGGAGGAGGGGCACCACCAGTAAAGAGAACAAGAAGCGACGCCAACACGAGACCCGGCAACCCGACCAACCAAAGGCCACCTCGGGAGAACAACGACGCTAGCGCCAGGGGCTTTCCTTGCCCGAAATGCAACAAGAACCATAGAAGCAAGGATTGCATGGGCAAACCCTTGCAATGCTTCAACTGCGGAGAAGAAGGACACAAGGCCTTCCTTTGCACCCAACCCCAAAGGCCACGCACTACCACCATGGGACAACATGGGGGCACCACTCATCAAGGAAACTACGACGCTCCCGGAAAAGTATTCGTCATGAGCCGCACTCAAGCCAACCTCGGGAACGAGGGCAATCTCGAGGAAGGGAACCTAAGCCCAGAAGACGAGGACCACGCAAACCCCGTGGGAGAAAGCCAAGAAGACGAATTCTGCCTAGGTTAGGTTGGCAATTTCTTGTAATCACCTTCGTAGTGGAACTACTTACTTAGCTTAATTACTTGGAAATATTATAAATAAAAGATTAGTTCGAAATTCGGTCCTATGTGCGGGGGGGATAGAACTAAAACTATACAAACTAACCAAGCCTCACCACTAAAAGCCGAAATAAGGAAAAGACAAAGGCCCCATCATCAAAGAACCTAGTGTCACCAATGAGAATTGAACTCTTGACCTCCCACTTACAAGACCAAGGTCTTAACCACTAAGCTAAAGGTGTTTCTTAAAACCTTAAGGGAACACTCCCTTGTTGAAGCTCCTACAAATCCCTAAAACCCACAAAATCCCCAAATCAAAAACCCTTCTTCTTCTTCCCTTTCTCCTTCTTCCTCCCCTACTCTCTCTCACTCTCCTCGCCGCACCCCACCAAAGAAAACCCCCAGCCACTCGCGCCACCGCCAGCCGAACGCCGCCATCGTCCGACCCCCTTCCGTCAACCCTGCGCCGCTGCACCACCGCCCAGTCACCTCGCCCGGAGACCGCCCGCAACGCCAAAACGCCACCCGTCACTTGCCCAAGCCCCACCCGCTGCCACCAACGCCCCACGCCACCGGAGACCCTCACCCACCTCACCGAACCGACGCCTGGACTCCGCCCCACCGTCGCCGCCCTCGCAAAGCCGCGAAAACCATCGCCGAAAAAAGGTTCGCCGGAGAATCACGCCGGAGACCCAGCGGAAAAAGTCGCCGGAAAAGTGACGCCCATCGAAATGCCAAAGAAACCCCTCGGAATCCGCACCCCGGAGTGGAGCAATGCCGATTACACCGTAATCGGAGGTAAAGCACTTGAACCCGACCAATTCTCTCCGGAATTGGTTGATATGCTTAAACATCAAGGGCTCTTATATACTTACCTCGCCATCAAAGGGGATACATACCCCGACTTGGTGAAAGAATTCTACCAACACCTTGTGGCCACCAAACGGGGTGAAAAAGTATAAATCACCACCAAGGTCCGTGGCAAGGAAATTATGCTTTCCGAAGGCCGTTTGGCCAAGCTCTTGAAATTGACCACAACGGGTGTGTCCAACTATGACCCGAAGGGGTGGATTGATACCCAAAACACGGGGTACAAGGACTACCTCGGGTACCTACTCGGAAAGGAGGACGGGTATTAACGCCCAGAATCTCCGCCGCAACGACATCTACTACACCGAAGGGGCACATTACTTCACCCTCGAAGAAATTTGCCAAAAACCCGAGGAGGAGCGAAGTGAATTGGTCGACCGGCTGGACATCTCCCTTGTGCTTGAGGGGGTGTGTTAGACATAATATTATTAATGTTATATTTCCCTGTACTATCTGAATAAGTCAATAAGTTAGAGTCTTATGGCTAGCCTATTGTATAGGGTTAGTTAACGTAGATTACTCTCTTATTGTATTATCTTTGCTACTGTTCAGTTAATGCAGTTGTTGTTGATCTCATCGTGAGCAGCCTCTCTTTGCTGCTTGGTTTGCAGACGAGTGACTGGTCTTCTTGGTGCCATTTTCAAGCCTTTTCTGAGATATGTTTTTGTGAGATTTGTGTTCACAACTCACCTCCTTTTATAGCCGATGCTTAGCATTGGTAATTGTGAGCATTGAATGACCATTCAATATTTGTGCGTTATTCTTTGAACCATTTATTACGGTTATGACTATTAGCGCGTAATTTAATGAAGACCATGAGGGAGATGTAACATACATAGGAATTTTTGTGCAACGGTCATCATGTAATACTCAAATAGATAAAATAAATCAAATAAAGTTTTATCTCTCTGTGAGTTAGAGATTAACCCATAATAAGCCACATTTTATTTCAAGACGAGAAAGGACACATGATACATCTTTAAAATGTGTTAAGAAGATTCTACTTCTTCTCTTTTCCTTTCTTCGTGTTACTTGGTTCCCCCTTTTCGTGTTTGTTTTTCTTCTTGAGAGTTGAGTAGTCAGAACGGGATGATCCAACAGAGGATTTTGTTTCAGCAAGAAGAGGATCTACATCTGGATATCCAACGAGTTCGGTTTTGCAGTCATATGTTCTGAGGAATTCGCGAAGATCCTTGTCCATGGCCGGGTCAATCCAAGATTTTTTAGATAGGAAGCCCAGTATGATGATAAGAGGAAGTTCCTAGTTTGGCTTTGTCTTTGAGGATTCTTCGTCGGATTCATATGTGATGAATCCATCGTAGTGCCCGAGATCTGAGTCTGAAGATATGTCCAAGGGGGCTCGCATGCTATTTCCAGGATAAAGATCACCCTGTTCTTCATGCTTAAGGCGAACCCTTTCTGCGATTCTCCTTGTTGTGTCTTTGGTGATGGGCTTACGAGGTGCCATTTTAGACAGATCTTTAGAAGTTGATAACTAGACTCAGCTAATATCCTCCTTTTATAGTCAGAACATGATGGGATAATTTAATGCATTTGCATTGTTTTCAATGAGGTCCTGATTACTTGGATGAATATCAAGTGCGTCATGTCTTTTATGCACAAGACAACAAGTTCCAAAACATTTATTCCCGTGAACTTATTTGCATCAACACTTTCACGACTATGATATTTCGCAGAGCTTTGAAACTTTTGTGAAATTTCACGTTCAGTATTTAATATATCTTTGACCAGAATAGAAAAGATTCTGCATCTTAAGAGTTTAAGTGGAGAAGATAATCATTGCTGGTATGAAATTTTATTTAACAAAACCAGAGAGTAGGTAACCATGACTTACAGGAGCAATAATCATAAAAGATTTGTTTTTAGAGAAAGCAATAAGGCATGTGAAGTTCCAGACGAGTTGATTCATTAGTTACATCAGACACGCTGGCCACTTTTGCATACTCGTCCAGTTCCTCAAGAGAGAGGGTGGGCTCAGGCGATTTGCTTGATGTTTGAGAGTGAATATGAGAAAGATCTTCATGAGATTTTTCATTCTTTTGAGGAACCTCAGGAATGGGATACCAACGAAAAGTGGGTGGATTAGATGTGTGCTGCTGTGCACTTTTCAGAATCATTATTCTTTGGTGTGCTAATTTTCTAGCTTGTTCCTGGTGGATGGCTCTCTTAGCTTGAGATTCCATGACGATGTTGTCTAGACTTTCTTTGTCTTCCTTGTTGATTGAGCTTGGCATAGAGTATGTGACATTCACCCTTTCTCCATCTTCTTCCAGTTTTATGATTGTCGCGTTGGTGAATTTGCTTGCCTCCGTGAGATGATGGTTTAGCCGAATTTCTCATTTTTCTACTTCGTCCATTTTTCCTTTGCCTTTGTTCTGATTCATACCTGCAAACAACACTTACTAAAACACTAAGATATGTTAATAGGTTAGTATGAATAGCTTTCGTTAAAGGAGGAACTAATTTATAAGCACAAAGGTTGCGTGAAAATGTGTTCAAGAGATTTTGGATTGAGGTACCAAATCTCCTTTTTGGGAATCTTTCAGGAATCTCTGAGTTATGAGACCATTAACACGCCAACTTGTTAGGTCATTTCAATCATTCCAATTTCGTGGCGGAGTGTGGCAAATCCATTTTCACAAAGTGGTTTAGTGAGAATATCTGCCAATTGATCATCAGTATTAACATATTCAAGGGATATGTTCTTTCTTTCAACATGATCACGTATGAAGTGATACTTAATATCAATGTGCTCTGTTCTAGAATGTAACACTGGGTTGTGTGTAATGGCTATTGCACTTGTACTGTCGCACTTTATTAGCACTTCTCAAGCTATTACACCATAATCTTTTAATTGGTGAGTCATCCACAAGATTTGTGCACAGCAACTACCAGCTGCAATGTATTCGGCCTCAGCTGTGCTAGTTGCAATTTATTTTTGCTTTTTGCTAAACCAAGATACAAGTCTTCCACCTAGGAACTGGCAGGTCCCTGAGGTGTTTTTTCGATCAATTCTACAGCCAGCAAAATCAGCATCTGTATAACCAACAAGATCAAAAGAGTTTCCTTTCGGGTACCAAAGTCCTACACTTTGGGTTCCCTTCAGGTATCTTAAAATCGTTTTGGCAGTACTTAGATGACTCTCTTTAGGTTTAGATTGAAACCTTGCACATACCCCAACAGCAAAAGAAATATCGGGTCTACTTGCTGTGAGGTATAGAAGGGATCCAATGATTCCTCGGAAGTTCTTTTGATCAACGTCTTTCCCTTCGTTATCAATATCCATTCTCAAGGATGTACTCATGGTAATTTTTACAGAGGACTTTCCATCAATTCCAAATTTTCGAATCAAGTCATTTGTATATTTAGCTTGATTAATAAATATCCCTTCAGGGCATTGTTTGACTTGCAAGCCAAGAAAGTAGTTCAATTCTCCCATCATGCTCATTTCAAATTTCCATGCATGAGATTTGAGAATTTTTCACAAAGATATGGATTAGTGCTCCCAAAGATGATATCGTAAACATAGATTTGGACTAATAATACATGATCATTGTCTTTGATCCGAAAGAGTGTTTTATCAACAGCTCCTTTCGTGAAACCACAGTTTATGAGAAAGTATGAAAGAGTATCATACCAAGCTTGTGGAGCTTGCTTTAGTCCATATAATGCCTTTTTGAGATGATAAACTTTTTCTTGTCCGCAATCAATAGCGAAACTAGGTGGTTGTTCCACATACACTTCTTCTTCTAGAAAACCGTTTAAGAACGCACTTTTGACATCCATCTGTAGACTTTGAAGTCTTTATATGCTGCATAGGCTAGGAACATTTGTATTGCTTCAAGCCTAGCCACTGGGGCGAAGGTTTCATCAAAATCAATACCTTCTTCTTGACAATAGCCTTTGGCAACAAGTCGAGCTTTGTTCCTAACAATGAGACCATCTTCACTCATTTTGTTTTTTCATACCCATTTAGTTCCAATGACATTTTGGTGCGTAGGTCTTGGAACAAGTTCCCATACATTGTTTCGTTCAAATTGATGAAGTTCTTCTTGCATGGCTATAACCCAATCTGGATCATTTAAGGCTTCTTCAATGGATTTTGGTTCCATTTGTGATAGAAAACAGGCCATCATATTTTTGTGTAAAGAAGCTCTAGTTCTTACTCCTTCTTGTAGGTCTCTAATGACTTGATCGGGTGGATGATCTCTTAACCATCTAAGATCTGGTTCAAATGATGGTTGTTGATGTTGACCGTCCATTTCAGGAATGTAAGGCAGGTCAATGTATACCATTGGTTCGGAGGTGGATTGAGTGTTTGCGTCAATGACTTGTGTTGCTTCATCAGTTTGAGCTCTAGATTCGGGATGTCTAGAATTCGATTGGTATCTTGTGTATGATAAAATATGATCTTCAAGATCTGAGTCTTCTACATCAATTGTTACATCTTCAGCTCTTTCGTCAAAGGCTCTTAGATGGGTCTTCCCGTTGTTATGAATAAAACACCTGCAACCAAAGATATGAAAATAACTGATAACAGGTTTCTTACCTTTCCATAATTCATATGGAGTGAGGTTGTGAGCTTTGTTGATTAAGGATCGATTTTGTGTGTAGCAAGCTGTATTTATGGCTTCTGCCCAAAATCGCTTAGGCAAGCCTGAATGTGCAATCATGGTTCGTGCTGCTTCTTTCAAGGTTCTGTTTCTCCTTTCGGCAACACCATTTTGTTGGGGAGTTCTTGCTGCCGAGAGTTGGTGAAATATACCATTTTGTCCGCAGAAATCCTTGATGACTTTGTTTACAAATTCGGTTCCCTGATCTGATCTGATCCTTATAATGTTGACTTCCTTTTCGGTTTGGAGCTGTCTTAGGAGATTAGGTAAGACAATTTCTGTTTCGTTTTTCCTTTTTAGGAACAGTGCCCAAGTATACTTCGTGTGGTAATCTACTACGACCAGAGTGTATTTTCGTCCACTTAGACTTGTAGGGTCTACTGGTCCAAATAAGTTCATATGCAGCAAGCTCAACGGGCGAGATTTCATGTCTTGACTCTTTGGACTCAAAGGATGATTTGATTTGCTTTCCTTTTTGACAAGCTTCACAGATTTTGTCTTTAACGTAGGTTGCTTTCGGTAGACTTTCTACTAAGTTTTTCTTCGCAAGTTTGTTGATGGTCTTTAGATTCAAGTGACTTAGCTTGTTGTGCCACTCCCAGCTTAGATCTGCATTGCTTTTAGCCACAAGACAAACATTATCATTAGATGAGTTCCAAGTGATAACATACATATTTTTCTTTCGTTTTGCTGAGAGAACAGTTTCGCCATCTCTTGTGCTGATAATGTTGCATTTATCTTTGGAGAATTCGACGTTGTATCCTTTATCGCAAAACTAACTTGTGCTCAGTAGATTGAATTTCAGTCCTTCTACGTATGAGACATTTTGAAATTTTATGCCATTTTTTATCACATCCCCTGTCCCACGAGTTTTGCCACTGGTTTCTCCTCCAAAGATCACTTTCGGACCGTCGATTTCCTTAAAGTTGCTCAAGATTGTTTTGTCTCCAATCATAGGTCTTGAGCATCCGCTATCTACATACCATATGACCTGTTTCTCCTACAAGAAAGATTATGCATTCTTAGGTACCCCTTCAGTTGCGGGTCCTTCGGGGTTAGAGGTTAACTTTGGGATCCAAGCGAACCTAGAGTAACCTTTACTCATTCTCGGTCCTTTGTACCCGTTGAAGACGCGGTAATCATAAAAGATTTTTGAAAAGGTTTTGTTCTTATATCGTTCTTGAAAATAATCAGCAGGTGGATTATGATACTGCTTGGAGTAATTGGTTTGTTTGTGCTGATGTATTTTGTCAAATTGTGCTTTTGACAATGGTTCGGGATAATCAAGCCAATCTTCCTCAGTTGGTCCATTCCATCCATTGCCTGTCCTCGGTCTTCTAACTGACCTCTCGACATGTTGGATATGTTCACTTCGTGTATACTTAGAACGATTTTGCCTCTGATTAACGTTTGGTTTTGTCCTTGATTGATTGTTCCTTGTAGGCTGACCATTCTTTTGATATAGATTAAATCTATTGTCTTTTGGTCCATTCCGTTTGGAATTTTTGTGCCTAGGATTGCCTTTCAAGAAATTATCATTTCTTGGTTCCACAATTCGTTGTACAGCCGTTCCCTTAGGTTGACTTGTTGATTGTGGTGTTTCACCATTGTTAATCTTGGTTACTGGCTCAGATACTTGAGTGGGACCTTGAACAAAAGTAGATATAAAACTTTCACGGGTATATGCATTTGTGGGTTTGTTTAAGGTGACATGTGAAGAGGAGCCGAGGTCATAACCAATTCCGGTTCTTTCCCCAGGCGGTTTTGATCCATTTACCATTCGGTCCATTAGATTGGACGAATTATTAAATGAGTCAAGAACCTCATGCAAATGTTGCTCCCGCTTCTCTCTTTCTGTGCACTGCTCATTGAGAGATAGAAATTGCTTTTCGAGCTGATTCTTTACAATGGCTAGCTTTATGTTCTCTATTCGAACTCGCCTTAGCTCATTGTGGCTGATTAATAGTCGAGAGTTCTCCTCTTTTAGTTCTGAGCATGTGCTGTTTATGATTGCAAATCTCCTCATCATATCACTGACTGATTCATTGGAGTTTTGATCACTTGTTGAGCTGGTTTCTAATGAAAGGAAGGAGGAGGATTGAGAGTCTACCTCTTCATCCTGTGCCATGAGACACATTTCATTCGATTCTTCTTTCTCGCTGAACAAGAACAGAAGCCCCTTTTCTTCTTCAGTACTATCATCATCTGAACTTGAGCTTGAGGAACTGCTCTCGGATTCAAAGTTTTTGGTTGTTTCACTTACGACCATTGCTTTTCTTCTTCTCTCATTTCTTGAGTTCGATGACTCTTTTTTGTCACTTCGTTTGGTGAACTCACTGCTCTCTTTTGATGTGCTTTTCATCACGCTAGGGTCTTGATGTTTGCTGACCATTGGTGGTGGACAATTTGCCTTGAAGTGTCCAGGCTTTTGGCACTTGTAGCACAGCATTTGGGAATCAGTGGTTTCTTGTCTCGGTGGAAGTGAAGATCTTTCATGTTGCCTTCAGCTTGATGGTCTTTGGAAGTCTTGAATGTTGTTCTTCCGCATGAACCTTTTCATATTCCTTACAAACAAAGCATATTGTTCGTCAGATAAAAAATTGCAAGAGTTAGAAGTTGACGTCTTTGACGTCGATGCTTGTTGATTGGCCATCAAGGCAACATTTCTTATTTCGGATTCTTCCAATTCCTTTGGTTCGTGCTCGAACTCATAAGCTTTCAGATCACTAAAGATTTTTTTTGTGCTGGTGGTTTTCATGTCACGATGATCTCTCATTGCAGTGACCTTCATATCCCATGATTTCGGGAGGCCTCGAAGAATCTTCAAATTATTCTCTTTTTCAGTAAGCTCTTTTCCGAGATCTGAAAGATCACCCAGAAGTTTCGTGAACCTAAGCTCCATGTCGGTGATAGCTTCGTTGGGCAACATCTTGAAGTCTTCAAACTTTTTCATGGCTACTGTAAGTTTGTTGTCTTTCTCCTGCTCATCCCCTTCTCCCAAATTCATAAAAACGTTTCCAAATTTCCATTGTTGTTGTGCATTTGCGAACTCTTGGGAACAGGGAATCGTCCAGAGATTTGTAGAGGATATCTCGAGCAACGTTGTCCAAGTTAGCTCGCGTTTTCTCATCAGAATTGAGTTGTGCCTTTGGTTTCGGTATCATGGGTTCTGCACCAGCTCCTTGTGTAACAGCTTGAGTGTTCACCATCATAACAGTGATAGGTCCTGCGGTTATTACATCCCACATTTCATCATGAATGGCCGACAGATGTGCCTGCATCCTCACTTTCTAGTCATCAAATTTTGAGAGATTGAAGGCAAGAGGCCTAGATCGGTTAGAATGATCCTTTTCCATTTTCTTTTTGAAAAATTAGTGCAAAGACGAAAAGATGTAAATTTTAAGATTTTAAGAGAAGGGATCTACCAGGCAGTAAAGGCAAAGCTTTTACCGTTCAAGGTAACACCTCTGATACCACTTGTTGGTCCCGGTAGGGTCGAAAGGAGAGTCTAGAGGGGGGGGGTGAATAGACTCAATTCGTTTTTCACAAAAATAACTCATTTCGGGGTTATTACGCAGCGTATATGTATACAAATTTTAAGTTACTTTGCACTGTTTGATCTTTTTAGGAAACTTTCGGTTAGAGTCGCATGTTATGCAATGCTTGAAAGTAA